TGCTGAGATCGCCTTTCTTTGGTATTTTGACTAGAAGTCCTTCTTTCCAGTCTTTTGGTACCTGTTCCTCATCCCAGATCTTTCTGAAGAGAATGTGGAGTATCCTTGCAGTTGCCGCTACGTCTGCTTTCAGTGCCTCTGCTGGAATGCTGTCTAGTCCTGCTGCTTTGCCACTCTTGATTTGTCTGATAGCCATGCTGATCTCTTCAATTGTTGGTGCGCCAACATCAATTGGGAGGTCCGTGAGTGCTGCTTCGATGTTGGGTGGGTTCAGTGGGGCTGGTCGATTCAAGAGTTCTTTGAAGTGTTCTACCCATCTGTTTCGTTGTTCTTCAATGTTGGTGATTATCTTGCCTTCCTTGCTTTTCACTGGTCGTTCTGGTTTACGGTGATTTCCAGAGAGTTTCTTTGTTGTTTCATACAGTTGTCTCATGTTTCCTTCTCTGGCAGCCTTTTCCGCCGTCAATGCCAAATCCTCCACATATTTACGTTTGTCAGTTCTGATGCTCCTTTTCACTTGCTTGTTTACTTCTGTGTATTCAGCCTGTGCCTTGACTTTTTCTGCTCTTGTTCGACTGGTATTGATTGCTGCTTTCTTGTTCCTCCTTTCTTGAATCTTATCCAGTGTATCGACCGTGATCCAATCCTTGTGATGGTGCTTCTTTTGGCCCAGAACCTCATGACATGTTGAAGTGATTGCTTCTTTTATCTCTTTCCAGTTGCTCTCCATAGTAGTTCCTTCTCCATTGAGTAGATCATGAAAGGCTTGGAACTTATTGCTGAGGGTTATCTTGAATTTATTGAGTTTGTCATTATCCCGAAGAAGAGCCGTATTAAATTTTTGTGATATTGTCCTCCCCGTTGTCCAGTGCCTCTTGAGTTTCAATTTCATCTTGGCGACCAGCAAGTGATGATCTGATGCTATATCAGCTCCTCTCTTTGTTCTCACGTCCTCCATCGTCCTCCTGAACTTTTTGTTGATGCAGATATGGTCGATTTGGTTCTGTGTGCTGTGATCCGGTGAAGTCCATATGGTTTTGTGTATGCGTTTATGTGGGAATATAGTGCCGCCTATGACCAGTTTATTGAAGGCACATAGATTTGCAAATCTCTCACCATTTTCGTTCCTTTCTCCCAGTCCGTGTCTTCCCATGGTCTCTTCATATCCGGTGTTGTCAGTTCCAACCTTGGCATTTAGGTCTCCCATCAGAATGGTCAGGTCTTTTGTTGGGCACTTCTCGACGATTGACTGCAGCCTATCGTAGAATTGATCTTTAGCGTCTTCATTGTAGTCATTGGTAGGCGCGTAGCATTGGATGACGTTCATTGTAATCCCCGTTTTCTTGGTTTTGAAGGAGGCTTTGATGATCCTTGGTCCATGAGATTCCCATCCTATAAGTGCATTTTGTGCTTGTTTGGACAGCATCAATGCAACTCCTTGTGTATGTGGGGCATTTTCTTGTTCATGTCCGGAGTATAAAAGCAGCTCCCCTGAAGCTAGTTGTTGTTGTCCAACTTGCGTCCAATGTGTTTCACTGATCCCAAGCACCTCTAAATTGTATCTCCTCATTTCTGCAGCAATTTGGAAAACTCTCCCAGTCTCCCACATTGTGCGAGCATTCCATGTACCTAAATAAATGGTTGCTCTGGTTGTCAGAAGGGGCATCGGCCTCGTGACTTCCGAAGAAACTCGGCTTTCATCATGAGGCGTCATAATTCTTCTAAACGAAGACCTTCTGACTCCCAGGGCAGAGTTTAAATGGTTTGAATAATTCTTTCTGGTTAGCGTTTTTTTAGCGAGTTAGTTTTCTACGGGATGGGGTCGCTAACCCCATGCCCAACCCTCCTCCTTTATCCGGGCTTGGGACCGGCAGTAGCCCTCGGAAAGGGGCTCCAGGCGGAGTTAATATTATGCATATAGTTTATAAATTGTCCGTGTTGGGATAGTTTCCGTGAACTTCAGAGGCCCTATAGGAGCCAAAGAGTTTCCATTCAATTAGAACATGATGGAATATTCTAGAATATTAACGTGGTATGCTACTCTAGGACAATAGCATAGCATACCTTTTTGTGGATTGGTTGTATTATAATGTTGATATAACAAATGCTAATATTTATAAATACCCATAATTTTCTATACATTTTGATTCTTACCCAACAAGCACTTTCCCGGTTTTCTTCTGTCTTCTGATTTGTCACTGTGAGGGTTCTAAACGTTCGAGTGCTGTAGTTGTATTATCGTATCCTGCATTAATCAAATAGAGAACTTAACAATCCGCATAATTATCAAGAATGTTTTTTTTTAATTTTTAACATAACAGTTATTTACAGATAGGAAATGAAATAATAGTGTAAAGTTTTACAGAGGGATTATTGATTAATGAATAAATGTCATTGTGTATTGTAGATACGCCCTACTGAGGAGTCCCATACTAGGACGAAACGGCCGTCCAGTGCTTCCAGGTTTTCCATGGTGGTCTAGCTTCAATTGATTCATGATTTCAACTATTGAAATATAAAATATAGTTCCATCAAAACTACAGTGTCTATTTACTTGTTGAATATAGTTTAAAGATATAGAATTACTCATTTAATACGTTTAACACAATTATTTCTACTCTATAAGGGTAAAAACTAACTTTTCGGCATCATTTTAGAAGTTCTATGCAGTATACGAAGGTATTTCAATTGCTTGTTATACGTAATAGTAGAATTTTAGAGCAAAAGTCTAAAAGTCTAACCCTTGATTCTGATTGTCTAATCCTTAAACTATACTTTTACCAAATTTTCTTCACTCAGTTAAGTATATGATACTGAATAAACTGAATACTTTAGTTATTAATATTACTAGTGATTGATGAATGAATGTAAAACTAATAGACAAACGCCGTTTTAATTTCATTTTATTACTTACTTACTTATATACTTACGCCTGTTACTCCTAATGGAGCATAGACTACCCACCACCATTCTACAACCCACTCTGTTCTGGACCTTCTTTTCTAGTTCCATCCAATTCTTGTTCATTTTTCTCATATCTATCTCCATTTCTCGGCGTAATGTATTCTTTGGTCTTCCTCTCCTCCTTCGACCTTGAGGATTCCATGTGACGGATTGTCTTGTGACGCACTTGGGTGCTTCCCTCAATGTGTGTCCTATCCACTTCCAGTGCTTCTTCCTGATTTCTTCCTCCACTGGGATCTGATTTGTTCTCTCCCACAGTAGGTTGTCGCTAATAGTGTCCGGCCAGCGGATCTGAAATATTTTGCGTAGACAACTGTTATTAAACACCTGTATCTTTTGGATGATGCCTTTCGTAGTTCTCCACGTTTCTTGACATTTGTACCGAAAATTCTGACCTTGGTGTTGGTTGCCGATTCTTTTGAGTTCCAGATGTTCTTCATTTGTAAATATGCTGCTCTTGCTTTGCTGATCCGTGCCTTCACATCTGCATCAGATCCACCGTGTTCATTGATGATACTGCCCAAATATGTAAAGGTTTTTACATCTTCCAAAGCTTCTCCGTCAATTGTGATTGGATTGTTGCATGCTGTGTTGTATCGGAGAATCTTGCTTTACCCTTTGTGTATATTGAGACCTATTGCTGCTGAGGCTGCAGCTACATTGGTCGTCTTCTCTTGCAATTGTTGTTGTGTGTGTGATAGAATAGCCAGATCATCTGCGAAGTCTAGATTTTATTTTATAACCGTCTAAAATTAAACATTAAAACGCGTTTTTATAGGGTAGATAAAATATGGCTAGCAGTGGAATCCTCGACGTGCATTTTTGGGCTCGTCATCTGGATGTACTTGCATCTTAAAGTTAATGTTCACTTGGATATTTGAACGGATTACCTAATTCGATAACCCATTTGTTAGGTCCCGATAAGCATAATGAATGGTAACTTTTGGGATCCATTCATGGACCAATACTATGAGTATATTTTTAGCGTATAATTGTTAAATAACTAAACTGTACATATTCGTATTGCTCTTATTATGAGCTTTATTTTGACCTATGAGCTATTATTATATGATTTACCATTCCTGAATTATGCCCTATCTATTAATCACTACCTCCCACATTCACACCCACATTTGGCCAAATCTCGCATAAATGTTGTTTCCTATTTTATTGGTACTATGTGATCTGTCTGGTTGGTTGAAATAAATGATTCATATCGCAGAGGCTGAGATTGATGTTGGCTGGGCTAGGCGGGAAGCATTGATAATCAGGACTCTAGACTGCTCGCACGGGTCCGATCGATAATTCACTGCTCTCTAATTGGCGGCATCGTTACGTTACACATTAACAGGGCACACAGGTCACAAGTTATAACACCATCAAGCGTTTAAAGCTAAATGTTGTTTGAAGAATCCTAGGCCCAACGGCTCAGGATATAATCCCTGGCGGGGTTTATAACTGAGCACTTTAGGTGAGCTTCATACTAGAACGAAAGATATCAGTACAGGGTTGTATAGATTATTATGCTTGATTGATATTTTGAACCGATTGATGTTAGACCACCATTGAAAACCTGTAAGCACTGGACGGCCGTTTGGTCCTATTATGGGACTCCTCAGTAGTGCGCATCGAGGATGCAATCGAACCCAGGGCCTTCAGTCTCGCGCGCGAATGCACAACCTACTTAACCATTGAGCCGGCATCCAACGGTGTTAATGTCTAACCTCAACCAATCCACGAAATTGCGCGACCATCTTCAATTGTACTGAGGTAGATACCTGTCTCTACCCGACACGGATTAGCTCCACTGGTCACGGCTTCTCACTAGAACTCTGAGAATTCCTTCACGAAGCTAGTCACTAATGAGCACATGTTGATTATCAGTATTGGGGTTGTGGAGATTATTAAGTTTTCGATTGAGATTACGAATTTATAAATGAATTACATGATTACATAATGAAATCATTTTTAATATTTTTTTTGTGTATAATTTCCTCCCTTCTCTTGTTTCACATCTGGCATTATAATGAATATAGTATGCGTGTACGTGCAAATCTTGGTGAATCAAAAAGGACATCTGCATCGAATGATCCACAATCAACAGTAGATTGTCAAATTCCTGATGAAAAGTAAGTTATCATCAATAATTTCATTATCAGTTTAAGGGGTTGTGGAGATTGTTAAGTTTTTTGATTGAGATCATGAACCGATTTATGTTAGACCCCCCTACTCATTGAAAACCTGGAGGAGTCCCAAAATACCACGAAACGGCCTTCCAGTGCTTCCAGGTTTTTAATGGTGGTCTAACATTAATCGATTGATGATCTCAATCAAAAAAATAATAATTTCATTGTTTACTTCATTGAAATTCTATTCAAATTTGTCTGATCTATTCAACTAACTGATGTAAAGAAGAAGAAGAAGACTTATGAATATTAGAAGGTTGATAAAACGGCTGAATTTATCAACTTAGCTAAACAAACGTTGAAAAGTAGTAAGGACTTATGAAATGTTTTGTTCTATTATAGGACGTTGGGAAAAGGACCTAATTTTGTAATTTTATTTAGAAAATTTGAATTTCTTAGTTTTCGCGCCAAAAGCGCTCTTGTCACCTTCATGTCGTATTTCCCACTTGGGAAATATCTTAAATGCTATTGGTCCGTTGTGTCTTTTAGTATTCTATTTGGTAACTCTCCTTAAGACGGTTTTGTACTGTATATATATATGTTTTGATTTGTGTTTGTTGTGGATCGCTCGTTTCTGGCTGTTTGCAGAATATACTTTCCCATTCCAAGCTTGGACTTCTTGCTGCAGTTAGCGGGACTGGGACGCATCGAATAGTTAGCTTATTGGTCTTTGGTCGCTGAGTCTTTGTTCTCGTTCGCAGATTAAGTGAACTCGTGATAACTTCAAACCTAGCATACGACTCCTTAGTAATGCATATTCATGACTTCAAAAGATATCGATGTTGCGTCATTCAAACCTCTCAGAGAATACATAACCTTTAGATTAATGAGTTTTTACCGAATAGTTTATCAATAATCATTAAATGATTACTAGTGAATAACTTTCAGAGTTAATCTTTAGAGGTTTAATAAGAAACCGTGACTAGCAGAGTCAGGAGACAGATATTAGCCATTGGCAGTAAGCATTGCTTGAATAATGTGGCGAACTGACTGAAACTAGAATTAAAAATCATTAAATGTCAACTCGGTGATTTGAATGTTAAGTGTTCACTGTTAGTTTTGTCATTCTTAGGGTTCGACGACTAGTAGGATGTTGAGCCACGCTTCTGAGCAAAACAGTTGTTTAAGTCTTTGTTGTAAATTTCAATAGAGTAAATTTTACTGACCAATTATTCTATGTTTTGTTAAATGTTAATTTAATAGGATTTAAGATATTTCCAGTTTTTGATGGAGTTTTATTCTTTACGCTTCAGTTAATTTGTGCTGATAATGTCGTTCAGGAAAACGATGAAAGCTCCATAACCAAACTATTCAGTTCAAAGAATAAAACTTCATCAAAATCATCCATATGATCTAAAAATCTTCACCAATATCTCAATATTTTCAGTTTTTTCAATAGTTGAGATCATGAGTCAATTGAAGCTAAACAACCATAGAAAACCTAAAAGCATTAGACGTTCATTTCGTCCTATTGTGGAACTCCTCAGTAGTATTCATTCACAATTTCTACTCGTAAAATTCGAACTCAGAACCTATCAGTTTCGTGTGTGAATGCTTAGTCTGTAGTTTCAATGGAATCATAATCTCAACTATTAAAATTACTATAATATTTCACAAAAAACTCCTTTCTGATCATTTAGTTACTTAATAGTTAACCAATCGGAATAACAATCCACAAACAATTCCTAATAGTTACTATTCGTTGATGATTATTTAGATGATCATGGAAGATACTGATAAATCCATTTTCAGAGATCACATGGTATAAAGAAAGAAGAAAACGGGAAAAAGAATGAATTGACGATAAACATGACAACTCTCTCTCTCTCTATCTGTGTGTGTGTGTGTGTACATATATTTATATAAAATGAACAGCAGAAAAAAAGTGTAACCTACGTATGAATAATTTCTGTTTTTGCTGTTCTTCTCCCCCTCCCCCTCCCCCCTATTTTTATTGTATTAAACAGTTTTATATTATGTTGGTATGTAATTAGTATAAATAGTAAAGTATATCATAGTTTATTGTCTTTATAATATACAATACTAAGATACAATTTCATAGTAACAGTTTTGGTATTGTAAGTAGATGATTGATTGTACAAGAAGCCAAATCAAGTTGTACATAGTTACTCATCAGGTTGAATCGGTTTAATTTTGATGACTTGTGTTATGTATGTGTGTATGTGTGTGTTTGTGTGTGTGATTGAAATTGTGAACTGATGATGGATAGCTATATCAGTTGAAAATGTGATTAAATAATTAGGTTCATTAAAGAATATAGCCTTCAAATACCCTGGTATAGTTGAAAGTGGAGAGAATTAGCTCACCCTCTCGAAATGCACTCATATGGCCACGAGTATATTAGTCACTGCCAGGGAAGTCCTACTCACTACCTACTCGTGGCGGGGGGTGTTTTTTACGAAATTGAGAGGACAATAAACCTAGTATATAATGTACAAACATAAATAATGTAAGCTTATTACTGGCTATGTTCAATTGGAATGAAGGTTTTCCGACTCACTTAGGTGAACCCTTCGAGTCCATCAACCCGGTTAAAGCTCCGGACATTCACTTTTCGTCCTTTTAATTTTGCAAAATAACACCCGCGGTGCGAGAAGGCAGTGAGTAGGACTTCCCTGGTAGTGGCTGTATACGCGTGGCCATGTGAGAGCATTTCGAGAGCGAGAGCTAACTCTCCTCACCCTGGATGAAAAATGTAACAATCATATGTTTAATATGCTGTGCTAATGAGGTATGGCAACTTGAACCGATACATATATGTGCCTGGTCCTACATTGTAGCCGACTGACTGACTGTTGGCTGTCTTCATCTCTCGAAGTAATGTGTTCTTTGGTTTTCCTCTTTTCCTTTTGCCTTGAGGATTCCAAGGGATAAGGGCTTGTCTTGTGACGCAGTTGGGTGCTTTTCTCAATGTGTGTCCTATCCATTTCCAGAGCTTCTTTTTGATTTCTTCCTCCTATGGAATCTGGTTTGTTCTCTCCAACAGTAGGTTGTTGTTGATAGTGTCTAACCAACGAATCTGAAGTATTTTGCGTAGACAACTGTTAATAAACACCTGTATCCATGCCTTCAGATCTGCATCAGATCCACCGTGTTCATCAACGATGCTGTAATTGGATTAGTGCATGCTGAGTTGTATCAGAGAATCTTACTTTTCCCTTTGTGTATATTAAAACCTACTGTTGTTGAGGCTGCTGCTACACTGGTCGTCTTCTCCTGCATTTGATGTTGCGTTTGCGATAGAAAAGCCAGATCATCTACGAAATCTAGATCGTCCAACTTCATCTTAGATGTCCACTGTATCCCGTGCTTCCCTTCAGATGTTGACGTCTTCGTGATCCAGTCAATCATCAGCACAAACTTCAGATATATTTGTTATATGGAGGTATTGAAAAGAAATTAATTCTATAAATTAAAATTGCATAGCTAACTAAACAGATAAATGACTTGGATTTGACTGTTTACCATTTCGTTTTTTGATATAGAGAAAAGGTGTTTCAGTGATTTGTGCTACTAATGCATAAAATTATTATTTCCTTTTGTATCTATATAAGAATAAAGAGGGAAAATTTGATTCATTTGAGATATAAACTGAAAAATTACTAGTATAGGGTTGTGAAGATTGTTCGATATCATGAATAGACGAATTTTAGACCACCATTGAACACCTGGATTTACTGGATAGTTGTTTCGTCTTAGTATAGGACTCCTCAGCAGTACACATCTACGATCCCTCTCGCGGTATTTGTATGTGCACTACTGACAAGTCCTATACTAAAACGAAACGACCTCCCAGTGCTTCCATTTTGTCAATCATGATCTAATATCAATTATCTCGGGATTGGAACCCAGTGGGTGCGCAGTGCTGAAGAGTCCCATACTTGAACAAAACAGCTCCACAATGCTTCCAAGTTTTCAATAGTGGTCTAAAATCAATCAATTCATAATCTTAATAAAAAAATAATTGTTATTTCACCATTTTACTGAATTTTCATTTTAGAGTAACATTAGAAGAATTAGAGAAATGGGCAGAATCATTTGATATATTAATGAGAAGTTCAAGTAAGTGTTTTCGATTTACATATATTTCTATTGTTCATCTCAGTATCATGTTTTCAGTATAGAGATTTATTGTATCACCTTCAAATACTCTGGTACGGGCGAAGGTCGAAATGTTCTCAAGTAGCCACGTGCTTACAACCACTGAATGGGAAGTCCTACTCACTGACTTCTCACACCACTGGTGTTGTTTACAAAGTTGAAAGGATGAAAAGTGAATTTCCGGAGCTTTAACCGGGTTGGTGAACACGGAAATTCCACCTCGGGCAGTTGGAAAACCCTGATTCCAAACCACTGGTGAATATGGGCTCCAGGTTCGTGAAGGAACAAATGACGTATGAACCTATTGTTGGTCACCGGCTTCCATGGGACTGCGTCTCCTTATGTTGCTCCACAGTGTTGTGGATTAGGTCTTTAGAGTGAAGGCTAGGGGTGTGGCATCCTAATAACACCACCTGTTTCGATTTGGGTGTGCGGGCCATATCCCAACCCTCACACAAATTGAATGATTTATATGGCACATATCTGTTTAGTGCCTCCTTGTACCAATGTTTATGTGTTGAAATAAATAGATCATATTATATCAGCTTTCATTTGTACTAATTCGATTGTGATATCTACTGATGATACTTAATTCCTTAACTCTAGATAGCTGATATAGAGTTCTTACTTAAAGAATAATTTACATGTCTTAGTCATATCATATAGGATACTATTATTGACTATAATAAATATTGTTCGTATGCTATTGCAATACAGTAGCGATGTGAGTCTGTCAAAAGACAAAACTCAGTCAGTCCGTCAGCTACAACGTAGGACCAAGCACATATATGACGTACCTTAGTAGCACAACAAGATCAACCCCGAATTCATAGAGGTAGTCACTTCAATGGTAGTAATATATAAAAGAAATATTATGTATAAGGATATAGTACAGGAAGAATTTCGGTGAAAAATTTTTATCCATTTGATTAAATAGCATCTTGGCATTTTAGCTGATGTCAATTGGTGATCAAAACCCTAAATCTAATCTTTATCCCTAACCATCAACTATAAATCAAAATCTTTATCCTTCACACAGGTTTGAAATCTTCATTTGACCTTAGTCAGTAGGTGAACAATCTCAAGACCACTTTAGAGTCTCTCAAAAATCGTCCATAAATTATCGTCTCACCTTTTTAATAACAATATCATAGTTTCCACTGTAACCTTAAACAACACGAACATTGACTAGGAATGAATAGACATAGTATACTATCACTTATATCAATTTATACTGACAATTACTAACATAGAGATAATGTCAAACATTCTGAATTGAAGGGAAGAATCAGGACGTTTTAAGAAGCACTGAATTTAGTTTAATTTGCATTCAACAGATACATCAATATAGATCAATGAGTAAAACATCAACTGATTAGAGGTTAACTAAAACAAAAAATAGACAATCCATAGAAACACAAAGGACATATGAATATAATGAAACCTAAGTAAATAATCATTCAAATGTAATGTCATTAGAAGACTTGCAGGATTCTAATCCTGTACTCACTCTGGACGGTGAGCAGATTGAAGTAGTCGAGAAGTTCGTGTATCTAGGTAGCTGCATAAGTGCTGGTGGTGGCGCGAGTGATGAGATCAATGCACGCATAGTGAAAGCCAGAGCGGCTTATGCCAATCTGGGCCATCTTTGGCGCCTTTGTGATGATAGTCTGGCTGTAAAAGGTCGGATCTACAACGCGACGGTGAGAGCAGTTTTGCTCTATGCTTGTGAAACCTGGCCTCTCCGAGTTGAGGATGTTAGACGACTCTTTGTGTTTGATCATCTTTGTCTCCGAAGGATTGCTGGCATCCAGTGGCAACACTATGTTAGTAATGCAGAGGTCCGGCATCGTGTGTTCGGTCACAGAGACGATAATGAAATTGGTGTCACCATCTTGAAACACCGACTTCAGTGGCTTGGACATGTTCTACGAATGTCGACCCAGAAAATTCCACGTCGTGCATTATTTGCCGACTCTGGGACTGGTTGGAAAAAGCGGAGAGGTGGTCAGTATATGACATGGTGTCGTGGTATGAAAGAAAGCTGCAAAGGGCTAGCTTCTGTCGGTCCTTCACGACTCCCTGGCTGGGGTCCGAAAGACGGTGTAACGCAGTGGCTAGAGACGTTATCAGATATGGCTCAGAATAGAAGCCAGTGGCGATCCTGCTGTAACCTTCTTTTACTTTCTTCATAAAAAGTGGTTGTATCTTTCTTAACTGAAAGATCTCTTCTGATTGTACCTTTCCGTTTCCCCCACCATTGTTCTCTCTCTTTTTTTTTAGTTTTATTTATTTATAATTCCCCACGTTCATTACTTTTTTTTTTCCCTTCTCTTCCCATTCTGATTGTTTTGTGTGGCGCATATATATTTGGTGCCCCCCTTGTACCAATATTTATGTGTTCAAATAAATAAATAAGTAAATAAATGTCATTAGAATGAACTAACTTATTACTTGTGAAATAATAAAGGTCCTCACTCTGATTCAAATTCACAGCTAATGATAGCGAAAGTCACTTGGTATTGTTTGCTTGCATTTTGCCATTGTTATTTAAGACTGAAATTGATCAGTCTCTTGTTGGTATATATGCATCCTGTGCAGATTACCTCGATACTACTTTAAGTCAAAAGCTTTATAAGTAAAGATAAATAATGGCTAGTAGTGGAATCCAATTTGACGCGTGTTTCAATTCTATTTTGGGTATTGATCAGCTGAATATACCTGCATCCTTGTAGAGTTAATGTTCACTCCGGGATTCGAATTCAATACCGTTCGCTTCAAACAAAAGTATTGCATATTTATTGGCCAATTAGATTTATAGGTTTCAAGGTCATATTACACCCACTTAGCTTCCATAATACATCTTTGTTTTGATTGGTTGAAAAGTATAATAATAGTTTCTTTATTAAATTATATATATATATATATGTATATTTTAAAATGTATTTTAAAGGTGGTCAGAAAACATTTCGTGAATTTCTTCGATCTGAATACAGTGAAGAGAATATCATGTTTTGGTTAGCATGTGAAGATATTCGAAAAGAAAGTAATTTAGAGATAGTAGAAGAGAAAGCTCGTATTATTTATGAAGATTTCATTTCAATCTTATCACCACGTGAAGTAAGCTATGAAAATTTATTTTTATATGGTGTTTGTCATCCAATTACTTGTTTATCAGTAAGGGGTTTATATGGATAGTTGAATTTATTGAAGTTAAACCATTAAGGAAAACCTGGACGGCTGTCTTGTCCTAGTATGAGACTCCACAACGATGCGTATTTACGATCTTGCCTCGTGAGATTCCAACTCAGGATCTATCAGTCTTGCGTGCGAATGCTTAACTACTAAACCCCTGAGTCGGCCGTCGAACGACGGTGTTTATAACTAACTTCAATCAATTTACAATATTGTGCCACTGTCCACTATTGTCTTTCATGAGTTGTTATCTCACAATAGATCCGGTTGAACTCCACTGTTCACTAGTTCTTAATAGAACTCTAGGAAATACTTAAAGTGCTTTCAAGTTTTCTATGAAGATCTAGATTCGATTGACTCATGAACTCAACTATTAAAATTACTTCTTTATTTATTAATTGTAAAACTTGAAAATGAGTGAAGTTCCGCCTCAAAGACACAGTTCAGAACAGCATCAGCCCGTGAACAATATGTAACTTGAAACATATACAATAAATGTTATGGGAACTGGAGATTGGTTGGCCTGATACATTTCTAAAAGCACTGATTAATTTTTTTTAAGAAAAAAATAAAAAGATGAGATCAATGGAAATCTTCCATAAGATCAAATTAGCCTATATAATATCTTCATATGACCTCAATTTACTGGAATAATTTACGGGAATTCATCATTTCAAAATTATCATCAAAATATGAAACGTTAACTTAGAAACAATGGATAGTGGCTAACAGTGGAATTCAGAATGTATGTTTCGTCCTGCTAAGGACTCTTCAGCTGGATGCACCTGTATCTCAAAGTTGATGTTCACTCTAGGACTCGAAACCCAATACCGTTCGCTTCAAACGCTATCACATTATCCACTTAGCTACTTTATCCTGATAAGATGTAGGTTAAATTCAGCTAATATTGTTCACTTGTATCTTCCCATTGATGTTAAAACCTGTAGTTGATCAGTCTATATGCTTATAAAGCTTGCAAGATTGAAATCATGTACAATAATGAAGTTTGATTGTTATCTATAGTTGACCAATTTAAACAATTAAAACTAATGACTGGAATTGAATCATGTACAATTTACAAATGAGAAACAGAAAAGACAATTGGATACAATTGAGAATAGTAGACTGTAATGTCTTGTTTTGTTTGTTTGTTTATTTGCTTGTTTGTTTGTTTGTTTTTTTTCAACAAAGAATACATGATTTCTTCATTTATATAAAACAGGTTACATTCTATCCATTAACATGAATAATCAGATGTTTGTAGATGTATACTCTATAAATTCATTACATTTGTAAGATAATAAGTAATCTAATAAGTATCTTATTCAAACAGGAGTTTTGTGAAGATTGTAATAATTTAATAATAGAATTGGTTGAAGTTACACATTAACATCGTTAGATGTCAGCCGACTCAATTGTCTAAAGGTTAAACGTTCTCATACGAGACTGATAGGTTCTGGGTCCGAATCTCACGAGGCGAGATCGTGGGTGTATAATGCTGAAGAGTTCTATACTAAGATGAAACAGCCCGTCTAGTGCTTCCAGATTGTCCATTGTGATCTAGATTTGATTGATTCATGAATTCAATTATTAAATATCTTATTATTTTTTTCCCAATATATTGATGTATTATCAGAGGGGGGTTTTGTGGAGATTTTAGTAATTTCAATTGTTGAGATCATAAGTCAATTCAAGTTAGACCACCATTAGAAACCTAGGAGTACTGGAAGGTCGTTTCATCCTATTGTGGGACACCAGCAGTGCGCATACACGATCCCGGCTCGTGGGATTCGAACCGAGGACCTATTGGTCTCGTGCACGAACGCTTAATGTCTAGACTACTTAGCCGGCATCCAACGGCTAATACACGAAATTGAACGACACATCCACCATTGTCATCAGTGAGTTATTATCTCACAACTGACTCGGTTGGACTCCACTGGTCAGTGCTCCTCACTAGAACTCCAGGATATACATCTTGAGGCCAGCCACTAATGAACATATGTTGATTATTATCAGAAGGGGGTTTTGTGGAGATTTTAGTAATTTCAATGATTAAGATCATAAGACAGTTGAAAATGAATTATCTTACCATGACCTACCGTCTATAAGATCTTCACAGTATTGAGTTAACGAATTAAGAACTACTAATGTAAAGATTGTATCGGGTTTGCTTCAAGCAACGGCTGTTTGTTCTCTCAGATCATCAATATCGCTAATAATCCAATTCCCTTTAGATATACTTTGAGAAGTTTGTTCCTACAATATGGAGAACCAGGTAGGGATGACTGCCTAAAACTTCTCTAAAAGCAGAAAAGATTACATTAATTGAAATGAATATTTAATTTTAGGATGGTGGTTAAAGGTAGTCAACAGGAAACCCTGGACCAGGATTTCATACTATTTAGTAAGGTGTACGTGTAATCTTAAACGAACTGGTGCTCTCTAACGGATTCGATCTCGTGTCACCCGATTTCGCAGTCAGAGACATTCCCAATACTCTATCCAGATCACAACCGACCTCCTATAGGAATGAGATATATTCACATGTGATTGATCACTGAGTGGTGGGTGATCAATGTCATGTATGTGTCATGTCCTTCTTAGTGCAAATCGAACCATATCAACATAGTTGCAATATAGCCATCAGTCTAGGTGACTCGACATTGTCTGTACTATTTTTGAAATAAGATGGTGGTCAGATGTGTCAGGAAACCATGTATCCAGATTTCGTACTATTTGGCACTTGTCAACAAGGTGTACCTGTAATCTTAAGGGAACTGGTACTTCCGAACAAATTCGATTTCGTATCATCCAGTTTAATAGTGAGAGACATTCTCACTACTCTATCCAGATTACAACCGACCTCGTATAGGATTGAGATATATTCACATGTAATTGATCACTGTTATTTTATTTTTATTTTTATTTTAACACGTAAGTATAGGTACAGGGAGGCACCAAATACATACACAAATCTCAATTGATTTGTGTGAGGACTGTGATACTGCCCGGGTGCCCAAACGGAAGCAGGTGGTTTTCTTAGGGGGCCACACCCCGAGCCTTTGACCTGAACGTCTGACCCACAAGGCAATGGAGCATCGTGAGGAGATGCAGTCCCATGGTAGCCGGTGACCAACGATTGGTTCATACGCCATTTGTTCCCGCAGGATACTGGAGCCCATGTGCACCATTGGTTTGGGGTCCGGTTATAGCGCCGGACATTCGCTTTTCGTCCTCTCATTTTTGTAAACAACACCCCCGCCACGAGAAGGCAGTGAGTAGGACTTCCCTGGCAGAGGCTATATACGCGTGTCCATGTGAGAGCATTTCGAGAGGGAGAGCGGACTCTCCCCACTCTCGGTCGTACCAGGGCATTTGGGGGCAATATTATCGATTAAATTGTAATGTCACTAGTAGTCTAGGTGACTTGGTATTGTTGTTTTTGTTTTTCTTCAAAACTTACTTCATTATTTATTATTTGTTTGTTTATTTAAGGTTAGTCTAGATTCACGTGTACGTGAAATAATCAATTCTAATATGATAGAACCAACACCTCATATATTTGATGAAGCTCAATTACAAATTTATACATTAATGCATAGAGATTCATATCCACGTTTTTTAAATTCTAAATTATATAAAGATATGATTGAAGAAATAAAAAATGAACATAATTAATGTTTATTAAAAAGAAGAAAACAAACAAAAAAGAAAAAAAAACAAACAAACAAAAAATCCAAAAGTTTTATTCAATGTAATTTGTATACAGTCACATTCACATTTACACTTTCCTACACACACACACACACAAACACACACACACACACGTACATACAAACGAAACCAGTCAAATAAGGAGAAAGTGATTGTATCCATCGTAATTTCCCTCTCCCTCTCTCTCTCTCTCTTTCTGTCTATTTTTGTTTATCCTATGATAATGTGATGATAAGTTTTCAATCAAAATGAATATTGATAATTGAAAATTATAAAGATAAATTTATCTCTATCAGTTTTAATTCATAGTCTCTATCACTCTATCCCCCCCTCGCTCTCGCTCTCTCTCTCTTTCTGTTCAGAATTTTACAATGAATTTTGTTTGATAAACTTTTTCTTTTGTAACTGGTCTATTTTAAAGATAAATTATTCTGGGTTATTTTTTTTCTTCTCTTCTCAATCACTACTGTTACTACTACTACTACTACTACTACTAATACTACTTATATTAATATTAGTACTATTGTGTAAACTGTATATAATTAGGTGTAATCGTTTGAGTCAAAATCAAAATGATGTCCTCAGTGAATAAATTATTCTGTTAATATCATTATACTTCTATCATTAATACTACTTAGAATATAAGAAAGTTGTAATTACGGAAAGGCAATATGATATCATTTATATATAGAGAGATAATATAGATATACTACAATATGATGCCCAATATTGGTAATCTGGCTGCCTGGTGTCAATTCATTCCAACAATGTTGTTTTTTTCTAAAATCAACATTGTCCTGTTTATGAAGTTACACAAACCCACAGACATACACATAGTCTCATCAACTTAATTAAGATATACACATACACACCCACACAAACACACACACACACGAGCACATACAGAAAACCAATAGATAATTTCTTTTGTTTTGTTTTGTTTTCTCTTTTTTTTTAATTATTGATGTTGTAAAAATCATTCAACACAGGCTGGTTCCTGTATCTCGTGATCTTTCATCATGTTTGATTTGATTTTATTGTTTCCATGTATGTTTGTCTGTTTTTTTTTGTTTTGTTTTATTCGAGGGGGGGAGGGTGTGTTATTATTATTATTATTACGGTAATGATTATGATGGTGTTGTTCTGTTTATTTGTTCCTCTTCAGTTTGTTTTGTTGTTTTCTTTTTCCGTATTAGGATTACATTATTCTATTTGAATGAATTACATAATACAGGAGTAATATGTATGACATAATGATGCTGATTACAGTTTATTGCTTATATTAATATATACATATATACTTTTCCTTATATGAAAATGGTTTATTTTTTAATGTTTACAATTTTGTTCCTTTTTTATTCATTCTAATTCTTTTTTTTTCCTATTAAAACAACCAACTAAACAAACAAACAAACAAGCAAACAAAAACAATTGAACATTGAACTTATTCATTATGATAAGGTTAATAGGGTTTATACAAAAAGAAAAAAGAAAGATTAGAAAAGAAAAAGACGAGAAAAGGAATGAAAGAGTAAAGAAAAGAAAGAGAAAGAGAAAAAAGAAAAGAAAGAGTAAAGAAAAGCGAAAACAAATCAAAGAGTAAAGAAAAGAGAGGAAGAAAGAGAAAAGAAATAGAAAATAGAAGAAAGAGTAAAGAGAAGAGAGGTAGAAAAAGAAAAAAGAAAGAGAAAAGAAAAGAAAGAAAAAAGAAAAATAAAGAAGAAATGTTTGTTTCAATCAATTCTACTGTTATTATCATTCTTAGCTTTGTATTTACTTCATATATCTATGATTGTTTAATGTGTGCATCCATTGAACAATGGAAAGATTTGTTTATACGAAGAAAGAAAGAAAGAAAAGATAAAAATAAATATAATCAATGTTTCAATTAAACACAATCAAAAGTGTATATCAGTTATGTATTTGAAATAGTTACATATATATAATTAAGTATATATTTATTATTATATCTATGTATATATATCAATACAGATACGGATTAACTAATAGAAGTACCGTTCAGTGATTAGATTAAATCAATGTAAAAAATAATTTCAAATGTACCATTATGAAGATACTACTTATGATACCATTCAATGATTGTTTATTTTTATTTTTATTTTTGTTTTTTTTTGTTTTTGTTTTGTTTTGTTTGTTTGTTTTTCTAATCATGTTAACTCGGTCTGATTTTCTCTTTATTTCATCTGATCTTCTTTTTATTTTATTTCTTTTTTTTTAAAAAATTTTTTCTTTTATGTTATTTTTTTGTGTTCATTTTTGTTTTATTTCAATGTTCAATTAATCAGAAATTACAATTTTCTTCATTTACACACGAAAGAAAGAAAACAACAACAATAAAAGAAAAAAAAGAAAAAAGAAAAAACCTATAATAATTTAATCAAAATTATAATAAATCAATCAATCAACTTAGCAACAAATATATATATATATATATATATATATATATATATATATATATATATATAAATACCATTTTCATTGAACACATTTAACCATGTACTCTTTATTGATTGTTATGATTTCAGGTTGATTAAATGTTGATTTAGTTGATTAAATTGTTTGTTTGTTTATTTTTAAATGAATGAAATTATTGTAATTTGTAAACATCCCTAAATTGGATTATTTTCTTTTTTTTTTTGTTTTAACCACCCTACTGTCTCTCTCTTCCTACCCTTTTCTCTCTCTCTCACTTTCTCTCTCTCTCTTTCTCTCTCTCAATGTATACATGCATACCTACATTTATGTAATATGATTAGCATTTTTTTTTTAAAAAAAAAGAAAAGATAAAGAAAAAAAGAAAGAAAGAAATTGATATGAACATAAATGAAACAATCAAACAGTAAATGAATAAAGAAAAAAAGAATAAAGAAAGAAAAAAAAGAAAAGATTATGAATTCATAAATAATTCATTATGATAATAAGGATGATGATGATGATGACTTTTCTTTTTTTCTTTTTTCTTTTTGTTGAAATTTCTTTAATTTTACTTTATGAAACTTTAATAATATTTAAAAGAAAATTAAACAAAATTCAATTGATAGTTGTAATTTGTCTAATTTGTATTGATTTATTGATCTATTGATTTATTGATTTATTGATTTATTGATTTATGTTATTGTATTAATGAAATTGTAATCAAAAATAAAGAAAAATTTTATTTTGTCTTTTTATCAAGATTAAAAAGAAAAACAAAAAAAAGAAGAAAAGAGATAAACTAAATACATAAAGAAAATAAGATTATAAACAAAAATGTAATTGATATGAATAATGAATAAAGAGGTTTTATCGTTCTAGAATGAGACTACTCAATAGTGGGCATTCACAATCTTACTGGCTGGATTCGAGGTTATACATGGTGATCTAACTTTAATGAACTCATCAGTTGAACTATTAAAATTATTATAATGATATTAATGATCATTATCATCATCATCATCATCATTATATGATCATTGGTGACTGGTTTCAATAGGTATTTTCTGAAGTTCTAGTGAGAAGCAGTGACCAGTGAAGTTCAAACGTGTCTATTCTGAGATAGTAGTTCACTAAAGACAATGATGAATGGTGAGATAATTTGGTGGATTAGTTGATGTTAGACATTAACACCGTTAGATGCCAACCAACTCAGTGGTCTACAGATTAAGTGATCGCTCGACAGATCAGAAGTCCTGGATTCGGATGTCACGTGCTATATCGTAGATGCACACTCCTGAGGAGTCCCACAATAGGACGAAACGTCTATCCAGTACCTCTAGATTTCTCATGATGATCTAGCTTTAAGTGACTCATGAATTCAACTATTAACTTTGTACAATCTCTACGAAATCCCTATCTGAGAATGTTTTTAAATTTAAGTTATTTCCTGAAGTTCATATAAACTACTTAAAATATAATAAGTAGCCACTATTTTATTCATATAAGTTTTTGACCTACTGTATATATATATATAGAGAGAGAAGAATTAAATCGGTCACTTATGTAGGCTTTAAAATAATTTGGTGAAACTTTAATTACTAACGAAATTAATATGAGTTTTAAACAAAGTTTAATAGAGGCTATCATTAGAAACTAGAACGCAAGTCTTATTCTATTTTTGAATCGTCAGCTCGATGTCTCCATATCTTAACGTTGTTGTTCACAACGAGAACTAAACCATTTTGCTTTAAACAAATGTTTTACACACTTAATTACGGAATGCAGATTACCACCAATTTGAGCAACAGGAAAGAATTTTAATCCATTCTTAAGAGTCTGAATTCTCTCGTTGCTAGGTTTGAGGATTGTCTTTGATCAATCTCTTTTGGCACATGTTCATCTAGAGTAGAATATATAGATATTGAGGAGGCCAAGTTGAAACATGTCCGTGTATCTTTAATACAAACAGCCTATACTCAATGAATTCAGAGTAAAAACCAATAATAGACAGAAAATACTCATGAAATTGCTATTAAGCTGTGTCTGTCAACTTATGGTATGAACTACTTATATGCATATAAGTAGTATATAACAATAGTCAGGAATAGGATGTATTTCAGTAGAAGATCGAATAGTAAAGAACAAGAAGAGAAAGCACTTAGCATGAATATGTATTAACAATGAAGTTTGAGAAAGTTGATTGATATTTTGGCAAATGAAGTATCCACTGTATTGTTCTCAGACGTTACTCTAATATTCACTTGATATTGTTTTATTTGAATCTTCCCATTGATGGTTAGGACTGAAATTGATCAGTCTGTTATTGGCATATGTGTATACTGTGCGTATTGCCTCGATATCGCCTTAATTCACAAGCATTATATGCAAAGATGGATAATGTCTAGCAGTGAAAATCCGAATTCGCGTTTCAATCTATTTGGGACTCGTCAGCTGGATGTACCTGCATCTCAGAGTTAGTGTTCATTCCGGGACTCGAACCCAGTACCGTCCGCTTCAGACGCCATCGCGTTATCCACTTAGGTACTGAATCCTGATAGCCACTTTCTTGTGCAATCGGGTGAAGTTTAATTGTAAATTAAGGCAATATCGAAGCATACGCACAGTATGCACATATACCAATAACAGACTGATCAATTGTAGTCCTAAACATCAATGGGAAGACTCAAGTAAGCAACAATTCTATATGAATTAAACTTCACCCCATTGCACAAGAAAGTGGCTATCAGGATTCAGTACCTAAGTGGATAACGCGATAGCGTCTGAAGCGGACGGTACTGGGTTCGAGTCCCGGAGTGAACACTAACTCTGAGATGCAGGTACATTCAGCTGACGAGTCCCAAATAGGATGAAACGCGTGTCCTGGATTCCACTGCTAGCCACTATCCAACTTTGCTTATAGTTACTCTAATATGTTTTGTAATTTCGTGTTCAAATACATTCGATTGCCTCACTTGTGTTTTCGTTCGTCCAATCATATCCTATTCCCACTAACCACAGATCAGTGTCTGTGGAGAAAATAAATTGATTGTATCTTTATTTCTTCATTCAGTAAGACTATTATATTACTTGCTTAGTAACGCCTGTTCCCTCTCATGATGAAGCATAGGCCGATCACCAGTATTCTCCATCCAACTCTGTCCTAGACAATCCTTTCCTGTTGCTATTCATTCCTTTCATGTTTGCTTCTAATTCACAATGCAATGTGTTCCTTGATCTTTCTCTTTTCTTTTAACCTTGAACATCTCAAATTAGTTCCTGCATCGGGATGCAGTTTGACCATTTCTTACATGTATATCCTATCCACTTGCAACGTTTTTTTCTTAATTTCCTCTTCAGATGGAAACTAGTTTCTTCGCTTCTACAGTAGGTTGTTGCTGATAGTATCCGACCAACGAAAATCGAGTATCTTATGTAGACCATTGTTAATAAGTACTTGCATCTTTTCCATAATATTTATAGTAATTCCCCAAGCTTTAAATCCCTATACAAAAACTGTCTTGACGTTTGTATTGACGGTTCTCTATTTCATAATAGTTAACAATTGTTTTGAGTTCCACATGTTCTTCAGTTGTGTGAATGATACCGTCGCTTTGGCAATTCTTGCCTTCTGAACAAATCGATCTATTCATTCTTCTCAAGCCAAATTTTGAACTTGTTGATTATTTGATTATTAACCCTGACTGTGTTTTTTTTTTATGTGATCATATGTGTGTTCATTGCCTACCCTATTCATTAAGTTGGCTCACTCACCTTCTCCGCTATACGTCCGTCTAGATCAATCACTGTATGAAATATATGCATTCAAAACTCATTCTTATATATGACTTAGTTCAGTCTACTATTCTCTTGCTTGAATGAAGTCAGTTTATAGCATGTATATTTCAACAACATTCAGCATAAGATTTAATTGAAGTCAGATATACAGCAACTAAATGATCCTTCAATGATACTTCCAAGGTATGTGAAAGTTCTCATATCTTTCAAAGCTTCGCCAAAAGTATTATATAAGTTTATTAAATAAGCTATAATTTACAAATCATCAGTCAATTGAATCAACTCACTTGTTATTTTTATTAAACTTATGTATTTTCTCTTTATTGATGTGAAAGGCTACATTTAATTACTGTTGGATAGCATATGGGCTTAGATTGGCAGCCAGCTCTACGCTAATGTATAAGAATCTTATAGTTGAATTCATAAGTTAATTAAAGCTAAACAAACATGGAAAGCCTGGAAGCACTGGACAGCCATTTCGTCCTATTATCAAACTCCTCAGCAGTGCGCATCCACGATCTCGCCCCTCCCACGAGATTCGAGCCCAGGACCTATCGGTCTCGCTCCAGGCGCTTAATCAATTAGACCACTGAGCTGGCCGGCTTCCAACAGTGTTAATGTCTAACTTCAACCAATCCACGAAGTTTAGCCACCGTCACCATTGTCTAGCTTCAATTGACTCATGATTTCAAGTAGTGAAATTACTAAAAATCTTCACAAAACCCCTTCTAATAATAATCATCTGCTCACTAGTGACTGCCTTCAAGAGATACTCCTGCAGTTCTAGTGAGAAGCCGTGACCAGTGGAGTTCAACCAGGCCTGTTGCGAGATATCAGCTCACTGAAGACAATGGCGTATGGTGGCTCAATTTCGTGAATTGGTTGAGGTTAAGTATTAATGCCTTTAAAGCCGACCAGCTCAGTGGTCTAGTTGGTTAAGCGTCTGGCGCGAGACCGTTAGGTCCTGAGTTCGAGTCTCCAGGGGAGCGGGATCGTGGATGCGCACTGCTGAGCAGTCCCATGCTGGGATGAAACGGCCTTTCACTACTTCCAGGTTTTCCATGATGGTCAAGCTCCAAGTGACTCACGATTTATGAAAATAT